TCCTTGTTCCCACCTTCAGCTTCCCAGACAGGGATTCGCACAGCCTCATCATGGCAAATGTATGTCATTCTCCTGCTGTCTTTTCTACTGGTGCTGGGAATAGCTACAATCGCTGGATTGTCTGTCCAAAATAGAAGGGTTAGTATTACAAATATTTAAAGATATCCTTCATCTTTTCTAAATTAAATGTCTATGTCACCCTTTGGTTTCCTTTTCCTCATTACCTATCCCTCTGAATCTTTTCTATCTATCTTACTTTCTCTCTATCTTAACTGCCCAGCTCCTTGTTTGTTTTTTAACGTATACTCTCTGCATACTTGCTTACCACCTTTATCCTCATATCACATCTATATCCTCCACCTTACGGGAGCACTCTGGGCACCATAACAACTTCATCGGGATGACGATATTATGGTGCGAGTAGGACCTCAGGCGCCAGCTTATCTCAAGTGGCTAAAGTGTTAACAAATCAAGTCTTGAATCCGGTGCCTACCAGCTCTGCCCAGCTACTTACGTTTCAGTCCTAAGCTTGAATCAGGAAGCCTTGGACTGGGATCCATCCCATTAACATATTAAAACACTCTCAGCCCATAAATGGCTTCTAGTTTCAGGATTCTGATAAAAGCTTCAAACTGCAGTGGAAGTAGCTGGGCAGAGTTGATCGGTGCCAGATTCAAGACTTTGGGATTAAACCATTAGCCATGGTTTAATTCCTTGAAGTAATATTGCATCCAGGGACCTCCTCACACCATATCAAGTTAATTCTGAATAAGTTGTTATGGTGCCCGGATTGTCGCTTTAACTTACCCTTGTCTTTACTCTCCAACTAACCATCTCCACGCCTTTCCATTATATTTAAATTCTTCTGCATTTCTACTGTCCATCTTATCTCTGCATCTTTACTTTCAGATTGCCTTCTCTGTGTCTCTACTAGGCACCTAACTCTCTCTGTGTCTGTAATCTTTTAATATACGATCCGTGTTTCTGCTTTCCAAATGATCTTATCCACATATTTACTCTCCACCTTACCCTCTTCCCAACATCATTCTTTCCCATACGATCTCTGCATCATTTTGCGGTACCTTGCAATCTTTGCATTTATACTTTCTTTTTGTTTCTGTTTCCGTTTCACTCTCCCTTTTCCACAAAGTTCTCTTTGCATTTTGTTTCAATTAATTTTTTCTGCTCATTTGTCTTTGAGTCATTACTCTTTTTATTACCCATGCTTCTCATTGACTCATCTTCTCTAAATCTCTACCATCTTTCTTTATCTTTAGAGGCGGCTCTTGAACCTAGCTGCTCTTACATCAATGGATCGCCCCTGTGTGCCTGCCAAAAAAAGTCTCAGCTTGTGATATGACGTCATCCACAGCTCTGGGCTTTGTCATGCCACCCGAATATGCCTGATAATAAATGAATGTGTAAAAGAGAATCATCTCCTGCTAATGCCCATCAATAAATGCCTGAGTGTATGAGATAGCATTATCCTGCGCGTAGCTATGCTCAGTCATTTGTATTATGATGTGTGTTTTATCAGTGCAGGTAAATGCTGAAGCCACAGCATTGATTCAGGTGTGGGTCAGTGTCTCCATGCTAAAAGGGCCCAAGATACTGGTCATAAACAGATTTATTGGGTTATTATCATGCTACTTGTTCTATATTAAATTTTGTATATATTGTGTATTAATATTGTTTTTGTATTTTATTGTACCCTATTTTATCATTGTAATGTTTTGTGGACCCGGGACATACTTGAAAACGAGAGAAGTCTCAATGTAGTTTTCCTAGTAAAACATTTTATAAATAAATAAATAATGCAGAAGCTGTGCAATGGGAACGGACAGGATACAGAACCAAGTTGATAGAAGTGCTCGATTCAGTGAGAACAATAAAGATTTGGGAATCACTGCATTGAGAGAAGTAGCCTAAAAGGGAGTGCTTCCGTTGCATTAAAGTCTGAGCTGCAGTGTGGTCCTTTGGGCTCTTTAGAAGACATTCAGTATCCTCAATCACAGAGACTTCCGTTTGGCCCTTGGTTTAAAGTGAGTATACTCAATGGTGGAGGACTTGGAGCCATGGGATCTCCTTAGAATGTCTTCACCATGGAGTCCACCTTTATAGTCCTATACTACCTACCCATAGTGTGCGGTGAATAATCTTCATGTAGATCTCTGTTTAATCTAAGCATCATACATGTCATTAAATACTGCCAAGTTTTATAGGTGCCTTTTTTAAAAAGTCGCAAAAAGGAAATTTGTCATCTTTGTGTGGAAATATACTGAAAACTGTATAAAAATAAAAACACATGTATCTTCCATACCTATATTATGTCACCTTACACATGTTCATTTCATTAAGTCTACATCAGCTGTCCAAGTTCTACCATAATATCAGGAATTGGTTCTACAGTTTTATTTTTCCTGATGGGAAACATCGATCACTTTTTTTCCAATCCATTTTTTAAATCTGTATTAAAAAACGCAATGCAAGAGAAAACTCAAACAAACATTAATTATGTAAATTAGGAGAAACCAAACTTTCTAAAAGAAGGGCAATGTGCGACATACAATGATGGTGGTGATGGGTATTTGAGGATTGGACACCTGGCACAGTACTCATGATATACAATATAAGGATTTATACATAGGGAAGAACATAGCTATGGATTAGGACATCATACATACATTGGCCAGTGTTACTACAGGGAAAGTCGTTAGATATAGCTCAAGGGACATATGTTCCTAGACTTTGCCTGTGTTAAAGGTATTTGAATGTATTTGATTTCTCTGATAGAATTACAGGTATTATAGTGGTTTCCTCTTATGACCTATTGCCAGTTTGGCAGTGGGGGAAATGTGTTAAAGTAGATTTCAATCCATACAATGATAAATCGTGGCTATAAAAAGCACAACTTGTTTTCTAGTATATTTAGAGGAGTGGTGACACTATAATGGTTTACTAATAGGTTGATATGAATCTTGTTGAAATTTAGCAGAGTTGTATTAGCACAGCAAGGTACACATACAAAGCAAAGAATTAAAGGAACAGTATAGGGTCAGTAACACAAACATGTATTCTTGAGCCTATAGTGCTAAACCCACCATTTAAGTGGTTTGCCCTCCCCCCTTAGCCCTCTTAAAAGTTAATAAAACTCACCTTATTTCCAGTGCCATGCGGGTCCACTGGCACAGCCCCCGCCCCTTGGTGACATAATCAGAACTGCAGATTTTTACCAATCGAGTGCTTTCCCATAGGGAAACATGGTGCGGCGTGCACGGTACAAAGTGACTGAAATAAGTATTCAAAGGGCAATACATATTCAAAGAGCAATAAGAAATAATATAAACAGCCAAATAACAGCTTTTAATAGTTGATTTCAACTGCTAACAAATAGATTGAAGAAGATGGGATATATCTATTTGAAGCTCTCTCTCCTGCACCAACACATTATCATTAAACTCAATCATCAACTCTCGGGAAATGAAGCTAAGAGTTAGACGGTACAAAAACGGGGGTCTGTGCAATTAAATGGCATCCATTATGCATCGGGCTACAATATACCTTTTTCTATCAGCCAGTAATTGTTGGGAAATGGCAAGATGGGGAAGTAGAAATTTATAATTTGCCATATTCTGCCAAAAATCCCACATATTTCCTAATGCAACTTTTCATATGTTTTCATTTTGTTGAAATTCCAGTGAAATTCCAACATGAACATAATTTTTTTTCATAAAGATTCAGACCTTAATTAAATATTTTATTTATTTGAAACTTTTAAAAAACTAAAAAATTAAAAAAAAAATCAATATTTTAAAAAAAAATCTAAATATTACAATATTTTTCAAAATGGAAATATTTTTAAAGCGTTTATCCAAAAGTATTAAACACTTTGAAAAGTTTATCCAAAAATATTATTGTGAAGATATTGTTTAGAAACACTGGCATTTCTATGAATAGTATAGTTAGTATATACAATAAATATGATTTTGCGTTTTAGAAAACATCAACTCTACACACTTAGCCATGGGGTACTTTCCGATGTCTGGGATACAAATATAGCCCATTATAGACACAATTCCTGACCTCCAGAGGGGTGTTATCTATAAATTTATGAAACGTGGTTCACCTGATCATATCCCTCAACACATAACAGTGATCATAAAAACCTGATCGTCAAATCTGTTAAACATGTCCCTCTGTTGTGAAAATGGGTACAAACTTATTGAACCATTGGGAAGACAAATTATAGGAATCACGTATCACATGCATGTGTTATACCGCTACGTATATAATATGTTTTATTAATAAGATGATTTTATTAAGACCTTTCATCAAAACAACCTATTATGGAACTCATGAAGATATATTTGACTCTCTCTTTTTATTTGAATAGGGAATAGTGAAAGCTCTATAGAAATCTATTATATACCTGCGAATGCCCTGCTTCCACAGCTTTAAGTTTCTTTTAATATCATGATCTTGTCTTTTGAGTTTATTCAGCCATATATTTCTCCCTGCTCTCTGCTGGATATTAGAAAAGTAATTACATGTATCTGCGAGCAATTTCACCATTACTTTCATTTTCTATAAATGTTCTAGCCTGCTCTAGCCTATCATATATCATATTTACTGTATTTTTCTTACTGAATAATTAGGATTAGCGGCTACCTGTCAATTTAAGCTTCATATCACATTTTAGCAAACACTACAATTTTCTGTTTGACATCTCTGCGTATTTTAACTATTTTCTCTTTTAGAATTTAGAACCAATTTTCATTCATGTCTTATATGCATGCGCCCTTTCCTTCTTCTGTCCACACAAGCACATTAGCAGACAGTAATAGAATTGATACCATTTCGACCCTTGCAGGCTTACTACCAAGCTGACAGATACTGGATGGCATGCCTGGCCCATTACTACATACACTGATCAGCCACAACATTAACCCCTTAAGGACTGGACCTTTTTTGCGATGTTGTACATTTGCGACCAGGCATATTTTTACACTTTTGTGGTGTTTGTGTTTGGCTGTAATTTTCCGCTTTCTCATTTACTGTTCCCATACAAATTATATATTGTTTTTTTCAGGACAAAAGGGGCTTTCTTTACATACCATTATTTATATAAACTCATGTATTTTAATTTAAAAAAAATAAAAAAATATGATGAAAAATTGAAAAAAATACATGTTTTTTTACTTTTACTTGAAAAATCTTTTACTCATCTACAAAAGCGAATGAAAAAAACTGCTAAATAGATTCAAAATTTTGTCCTGAGTTTAAAAATACCCAGTGTTTACGTGCTTTTTTGCTTTTTTTTGCATGTTATAGGGCTATAGGTACAAGTAGGATATTGTGGTTTCAAAACATACATTTTTAAAATTTATCAATAGTGACATTGTAACACTATTATCTGTCATAAATCTCTAAATAACACCCCACATGTACATATTTTTTTTAAAGTAGACAACCCAGGGTATTCAATATGGGGTATGTCCAGTCTTTTTTAGTAGCCACTTAGTCGAAAACACTGGCCAAAGTAAGCATTCATATTTGTTTGTGTGTGAAAAAAGTAAAAAAACTAAATTGAACGCTAATTTTGGCCAGTGTTTGTGACCAAGTGGTTACTAAAAGACTGGACATACCCCATTTGCAATACCTTGGGTTGTCTTCTTTTGCAAATGGTATGCCATCATGGGGGTAATTCTCATTCCTGGGCTACCATACGCTCTCAAAGGCAACGTAACCAACCTGGCCATTTTCAATGTAAAAATATTTGACCCATATATTTGACCTTGTAACTTTCAAAAATGCTATAAAACCTGTACATGGGGGGTACTGTTTTACTCGGGAGACATCGCTGAACACAAATATTAGTGTTTAAAAACTGGAAAATGTATCACAACAATTATATCATCAGTAAAAGTGCTGTTTGTGTGTGAAAAATGCAAAAAAAGTCATTTTCACTGACAATATCATCGCTGTGATATGTTTTACTGTTTTGAATCACTAATATTTGTGTTCAGCGAAGTCTCCCGAGTAAAACAGTACCCCCCATGTACAGGTTTTAGGGTGTCGTAGAACGTTACAGGGTAAAATACAGTGCTAGCAAATTAAATTCTCTGGAATTTCGGCCTGGGTTGGCAGGCAGGTCCCTCAAATTGCAATCAATAAAATTACTGAATTATGTAAAAATATTACATAAATACACACGTAGAATTTAAATATATATGCATATTTATATATTTGAAGTCTACATGTATATTTATATAATTATTTATGTAATTTTGTATATGGACATATGTATATTTCGTATTATTTTTATTTATTTATATATACATAGATATATATACAATTCATTCTAAGTGTATTTTGATATATATATATATATATATTAATTTTAAAATACAGTTAGAATAAAATTTCATATAGATATATAATTTTTTAAATTTTTTTTATTATTTAAAAAATTTTTTTTTAATTTAAATTACTTATTATTTATATTTTATAATAATATATATATACAATATATATAGTTATTATATATATATTATATATATACACGTGTGTAATTTAATTATAAGTGTATTTTTATATTAATATAAATACATATTAATATAAAAATACACTTAGTATGACATTATATATATGATATATAGACATATATTATATAGATATAATATATGTCTATATATCATATATTCACATATATAATTATTTTTATTTTTTTTATTAACACTAACTTTATTTTTATTTTTTTTATGATTTTACACTAGCAGGGAGACTGCCTGTCAGCACAGACAGTCCCCCTGCAGGCAGACACATGGACACCTATTGTGACCATGTGATCGCTGTGTTGAGCGATCACATGGCCACAGGGGTCCTAATTCAGTGTGGGGAGACTGTCTGGGCTGCAGGCAGTCTCCCCACAACCGGAGCCACGCTGATCGCCGCCGGGGGAACGACGGCGATCAGGTAAGTACCTCTGACCGTTAGGACGGTTCAGGACCGTCATCGGTCGGCAAGGCAAAAATGCCGATGACGGTCCTGAACCGTCCTCAGTCGCGAAGGGGTTAAAGGATCACTATAGGGTCAGGAACATAAACATGTATTCCTGACCCTATAGTGTTAACACCACCATCTAGCTCCCCTGGGCCCCTCATGCCTCCATAAATATACAAATCTCACTGTATTCAAGCCAAAAGGTGTAAATATGCATGCTGTTAGACTCAGAAAAACAAGCGGTCTGCTGACATGTGGTAGCCT